CTGCCATATTTTCCTAATCTTGCGTTTTCTGGCTATTAGCTTCTTTATTTCTAGCGTTACGGTTGGACATTTACTGACACTAGGATTCTGTGGAGTGCAGATTCTAACTGTGTTTAGCAGAAGTTGTTTAAAGTTTTCCAACGCGCTGTCAACATCATTTGTACATTTAAGGGGAATTTTCAAATTAATTTGGTGTTTGATTGTATCTCTATATCTGTCCCAATTGGTCCTAGAATTGTGAAGCTTAGGATTTGAGGAGATGGGCATAACCGAGGAACTTAGGGAAGCAATGATAGTTGAATGGTCGGATGTCAAATCATAATTGGGTTGGACTTCTATGCATTTGTAGTCAATACCACTAGAAATAAAAAAGTCAAGTAGGTCCGGAATCTTAGCTGGGTCTGAGGGCCAATATGTTGGTGTACCTGTGGAGTGCGAGGCGTAGTTATTTTGTTGAATAACATAATTCAGCTCTTTTCCTTTCGGATTAACAAGTCGTGATCCTCAGTTTGGATGCTTGCTGTTGAAGTCACCACCTGCTAGGAATCTTGTACCTAACGTATCGAAAAATTCTTGAAAGTGTTCTCTCTTTATGTTGTGTCTTGGCGGGCAGTAGACAGCTGTGAATGTGAGGTCGTAGGGAAAAGCCTTTACTTTGACCGATGTAGATTGAATATAATTTGTGTTGAAGTGGTTCATCTCATAATGTGAAATGCTTGATTTGACGATAACAGCCGTTCCTCCATGAGCCGTTCCATCCGGATGTGGCGAGTGATAAACGCTGTAAAATGGTACTGAAAAGTGACTGAATTTGGTTAGATGAGTCTCGCTTACTAGTAGAATGTCAATTTTGTTAAGAGACAGAAAAATAGTTAGCTCATTTTTACGTGAAATAAGCCCATTGGCGTTCCATAGTGCGATCCTTAGAAACTTAGCCATTATTTACGGATGTTAGCAAGAGAAGATAGCATGTTTAGAATCACGCTATTTTGGTTCATAAGTTGTTGGAACAAGTTTTTAAATTCTGCTAGAAATTGTGTCAAGATGTTTTCGATTTGGCCATCACTGTTAATGCTCGATGACGTTAGTTGTTTAGCTACCTGCGAAGAACTTAAGTGTGCCGCATAAACCGGTTTGTTTACATTGTTTTTAATTACGTCACTGTAGCTGCGGTCCGAGGTGACTTTGCTTGAATTGGTTGATAAGCCAGGTCGTAAAATTCTAGGTGAAGGATTTGTTTCACAGTTTGGCATGGATGAATTAATGTTATTATCGGTTCCGTATTTGCGGGCATATTGTTCTTGATAACGCTCGCAGCCTTTGTAGTTGGCTGTATGACCTTGCTTGTAGCATAAGGCACAAGTAGGTACTGCGTTCTTCTCAATAGGGCAATCTTTTGTGGCGTGGTTCGAGGCGCAGCGGCGGCAGATAAATAACCGGTTGCAAAAACTGCGAGTATGGCCAAGCAATTGGCAACGTCCACACTGAACTATACGTTTTCGCTCGTTGGGCGGTTCGATTTTAATTATGCAGTTGAAGAGCTTGTTTATTTTGTATATTTCTTTGTTATTGGCTTTTGGTTCCAGATCAACAAAGAATAAGTTGCGCGGTTTGTTTGTAATTCTATTACGCGGGTTCAATATATTTCTGACCTTGTGTCCGAGTTTAGCGAGTGCTGTCGTAATTTCTTCAGTAGTGGTTGAATGATGCAGGAATCTTATTACCACTCGAAACGCCCTATCCTCTTTCAACTGATAAGTGTGGTATTCGGCTTTAGCTGCTGTGAGTAATTTGGCCATTAATTTGAATGTGTCCAAATCCTGACATTGAATTTTCACAGTCTCGTCAGGCAGGCACTTAGTGTAATACTGATCTTGTTGAAAAACTGAGTTAATTTCTTGTTTCATTAATTTAAAGTTATTGACGTCATAGACGAAAATAGGAGGTGGTTTTGAGGAGCGTGGTTGAGATGTAGAAGGGGTGGGATTGTTTATTAGCGGTTCAAACCTGTTATGGGTGTTGATTGCAGTATGGGTATGTTTAAGAGTACCGTTGATTCTTCGTTTTTTTGTATATGAAGGAGTTTGCCATGCAGGTTCATCTTGTTCCATTGATTGACTAACAGAAGTACTATTAGTTTCCGTGATGTCTGAGTTGTTTAAAACATCCAACGCTTGCCCCACTATTGCAGAGGTAGACGGTTCATTGTGTTCCCCCATAATGGGCAACAACTTTTGTTACAACACGCACAAATTTTGATTAATATTTCACTTTTCTGTTCACTTAAATTGTCACAATCAAAACGAAAATAATCACGTCGAATCAACACGAGTTATATACTAGTTGAATACGAGCTGTATGAATACTTAATTTGAACACCTGATAACATTTACCGGGAGGTCTTACCTGCTCGGTAGCTGACGAGCGAATGTGAAATGCATAGATGAGTAAAATATATTGTAATAAATCGTTGCAGCTGAATTGTTTTTTTTCTTCTGTCATCGTTGCAGCCAAATAAAATTTGCTTGGCGTCTTGAATTATTGACCATGTTATTCATGCCTAAATTCAAATCAGTATTGAACATCTCCAAATTACATGAAATGTTGAATAACATTGTTTTATATTTTACTTACGCAGTGATTTAATTAGCTTGTAATTACTCGTGTCACATTATATTACTTCTTATAAAGGAAAAATGCAAATAGTGTATTTTTCACTATGTATATATCGATGTCATTTTTTATATATAATTGCCAGAAGATTTACTTAATGTCTATGTAGGACAGTTGTAAATAAATTGTTGAAAAAAAACCTACGCAGCCTCAGAACCAGTGCTGGATTTACAGTAGGGGCAGTCGGGGCTACTGCCCAGGGCGGCAAATTTTCGGGGGCGGCAAAATTTGGATAGTGAGAAGAAAATTCTTTACCATATTATTAACTCATTTTTAATTTCAAGAAATATAATTAACAAAACATTTTACAAATGCAATGCAAAATTTGCCAATTTGGCTAATATAAAGATTCGTAAGTGAGTTGAAAGTTTAAGAAAAATATGTTCTTCAGATCTCGAGCCCTCTTAAGATGACGAATTTGTGCACTTCCAAGCCTATGAGCCGAAAAAAAAATAATTTAGTGACGAATGGCATTGTGCCTTACGGCAAGTTATTGAAACTTTCCGTACTGAAAATTACATTTTATAAAGGGCTTTAAAATTTTTTGAAAAATGATAAAAATTGAATTTAAAAAAACTTTTTTTTTATATTTCGATTTTTTTTGAAAATTATTAAGTTTCATTTATTAAACTTATTAAAATTAAATTTTATTTGAATAATTCGATTTCTATTGATAGCGAGACATGCTGATTAGTTATTGGCCAAGACAGGTCCAACTGTTTTGGAAATACAAGCCAAAATGCCAAAAATAATAATTCATTTTTTGAGAAACGGAACGTCCAATATCATTAAAGAAAATTTACATATATAGACAAAATGGAGAACTGATTAAATTTGTGGGAGGCAGGTCTAGCGGTTTCGGTGATCCAATGAAAAAATTTGAAAGAAAAACATTTGGCGGTCAAAAATGATCATTTGCCATATGCATATCAAATTATCAGATATTTTAATAATATAATTTTTGTTTACATTCCTATGGGTTCTGTAAAATTATTTATCTGTTATTCTGCGAGGCGGCGCTTACGCGCTTCTTTATTTTGTCAGTACGCAGCTAAAGCAGGCCGATCGCTTTATTTTTTTTTTCAAATTTTAATTTTTGGTACGGAAAGTTTCAGCAATTTATCTTAAGGCACGATATCAAGCACCACTATTTACACTACACTATGTAATGCGTAATAAATTTTCTGCAATCAAATAGTTATTTTAATTTTAGAAAAATGATTTATATAAACTATTTTAAGTAAAAATTTAGGGATGGGGCGGCATTTTTGCCAGTGCCCCAGGGCGCCAAATTTCTAAATCCGGCCCTGCTCAGAACAACCACAATAGACAAATTAAATTAAACACTAAAATATAGTTCTGCTTACTAAGGACATCATTCAAATATCAGCTATTCTAAAACTGTTATTATGCTAAAAACTATTATTAACTTTCTGTAGGGTAAGTTGTAGTAATCGCAAAAATACTGAAAAAGAAATTTTTTATATATTTTAACGTTTTAGAGATATCTGAACATTTTGGCATATCTTAGAAAAAATTGATGTATGTATGTGTATATGTATGTGCGGATACAAAAATTAAAGTTTTTTCTTTATTTAATTTTTGGTACAGGAAGTTCTAGCAATTTGCCTTAACGCACGATTCCATGCACCATTAGCTATACAAAAAAGATTATTTTACGGGAAATGCTGAACTGATTTAAATGGTTGGAAAAGCATTAATTTGTATTTATAATGCTTTGAGTTTGGTAGAATTTGGTAAAGATAAAACTAAAATCGGCTGTTTAAGGGCAAAGATGAGTATTTGAGTAAAATTATAGACAATAATCAGAATTCTAAGATTTACGTAGTAGAAGCCATTTTAAATTCAGGTCTTTTAAATTTTTTTCTCTTATTTTCTCAAACATTAGCAAATGTTTGTTTTATAGATTTACAAAATGATAGAGATTTTAACAATATGCATATATTTTGTTACTACATTTTTTGGGGTTTGTAGCTATACTGAGAATTTTCAGAAATCACTTTTGTTCAAAAGTTCAAATAATTTGCTTTAAGGCACGATGCCATGCACCACTAGTCTTTTTATATTTTTATTCGTATTTTTTTTTATAATTGAGTTAAATTTAGTTGAAAAAATTGCACTTTTTTATCATTTTCAAACTTTTTGAATTTTTAATAAAATTCTTACCAACTATAGGAATTGTCTCTAGATTTTGAACATGTATATGAACTCTTCAAATTATTATCATGTCCTGTTTTATTTTTAATATGTACCATGGCTTGTAACTATCTAGGACACATTGTATATTATTTTAACATTTTTCGAAGACGTTCACGAATCGATGTCATGGAAGATGCTTTTAGCGACTTTTTCGGCATGCCGGATCGCGCGGAGCACAGGCTCTTGGACAGTTCTTTCGCCAAGCACAAGTTGTCGGTGAGGCCGCGAAGGAATCACACCGATGCGCGACAGCGTTCAGTAATGGAAGTTGACTCCACAGAGGACGAATCGACCCGAATACTTCACAGTACTGTTGAACAAGAAAGATTTCACGCTGATGATGAGAGGTGAGTCTAGTCTATAGTATCATTGATATACTGATTCTCATTTTTATTCACATCAAGTTTGTTACGGTAATGATTGATTAAAACATCCGTAAGCTACAAAAAAATTAAAAAAAATTGTCATATAAAATATTTCTAGAAAAATTTTAGTATTAGCCCTTTGGGGCCGAGCGCCGCATATATGCGTTTTACGCACATCATTAAATTGGCCGAAGAACTCATATATGCGTTTGGGGAAGGCAGTTGTTAGAGCCGAGAAACGCATATATATGTCACACCTAAATACATGTCGATGGCCGAAAAACTCAATGTTAATAAACCAAACTGAAAATTTTATGAGCAAATAAACATTTTATCTATCCCGTAAAAAATCTTTGTACATAAATATAAGATATATGTTCAGAATTTGAGTTGGAGTGCTAGAATAAGGTCCCGTTCTCAAAGGGTTAAAAACAACTGATTGTGAATTTGAAAGTATATAGTCTATAAGTGAAAGAGAAAGCTAACACAAATAATAGAAATGGTTTAGCCACTGCAAAGCATGCCACATTCTGCATGTTCATCGGGTACATTGATAGTCACTGCATGTGTTAATCTAATCTGAAACTGATTTTAATCTGATACTGCCAGTGTCAATCTAATCTGAAACGGCACAAGAATTTACTTAATGACGTATGTTAATAACGAATATAAGAAACTTTCAATTGACGTGCGCTCTATCTAAATGTTTATATTAAGAGTTAATACTATTAGAGATTAATTTTTTATTCATTTGGAAGCATTTGCGCCTTTGGAAGCAAAGAAATTCGAAAATGTCCTTGTTAAGGACCACCTTAATATATATATATATATATATATATATATATATATATATAAATAAATATATATAAATGTATTATTACCGTGCTTTTTATTAATTTATTCATTTTTGAGTTACGAAAATTCAAACCTTCATTTTTAAAGTATGCTGTGGTCTGTTTTAAAGTATGCCTAATGAATCGAATGAAATTTTAAGAACTTTGTGTAAAAAGTCACAGCTTTGCCATAGTTTTGTATGGTACCTGATTCCTTTTCAAAAACAAGTGAATCTTCAGATTTTTATATTCAATCTCTACATTTTTCTCGGCTCTTTAGGCATTATCATTTAGACATTATTGTCGGAATTAAAACATTTTTTTCTGGTAGCACTGGTCTAGATTCTTTAGAAAAAATTTTGCTCTTTCGTAAGCCATCGAATATTTGAATTGAAATAAAATAAGATCCAATCGCAAGTTAAATGTATTTTTAAATTCCGCAACGAATAATATTGAAATTAGGAAAATTAGCCTTTAGTATTAGAAAAAATAGTACTACGGGTAGGTGACCCTTGTTGGAAATAATTTTTTTTTTGTTAAATTGAGGCACATGCATTAACTAAAAGTGGGACGAAAAATTAATCGATTATTGAAATGACCATAAAAAATATGGGTTGATGATAAAAAGTAAAAATTTAGGATTCATATGTATAGACTCATTCATATTAGAGTTAAGGAACTCGAAGGGCCATTAATATCCAAAGATTTTAATTAAAGCATGTCCTAATCACATCATGGATTAAAACGTTTACACTTATTTACCTAGCCTTAATATAACAAAAAATAAATAAAAAAACTCGTTTAATCTGGATTCTAAGTACAGTCTTTTAATAAGATGTGAATCTCATCAAGATTTTTTCTTGCTTACCTTGATGTACTTATTTTTCTGTTTTTGTTAAAATATTATATTTTCATTCGTATTTTTTATAATTGAGTTAAATTTAGTTAATAAAATTGCACTTTTTCTATAATTTTTAATCTTTTTGAATTTTTAATAAAAACATATTTCACATTTTAGTGAAGAGATCTTAAGGTTCTCCACCTTGGCTTGGCAAAGCTTAATTCATATTTGAAAAAAAAACTAATGCCGCTCATATAATTTAATTTTTAATGATTTGAATAGAACTAAATATAAAAGCAGCTATATTTTATTTTTAATTAACCATTTTAATAGCTTATTATTATGTTCGAATCAAATGAAAATAATTTATTGCAAATGAGCACGCAAAGTTCTGTAATCTATTGCTAAAATTAGTATACAGGTCTGTAATGTAAATTCATAAATCTGTCACACGGTGCAGCTAAAATTTGTTTTCATACAACAATCGCATTTGAATTCAAAAATAAATGAACCAACTAACATATAACGGTAATGGATTTTTGATATTTGAAAATAAAATTCCAACATTCGGATTTAGAGTTCGAAACTAATAATAAACTTATATTTTTAATTTTTATTATTTATTATACGATTTCTTAACGCTGAGTCAAAATGGAATTTCTTCCAATTAATTTTAGTTCTTAAGCGTTATTAATTTTAGTGAACACTAACTTTCGCCAAAACCAAATACAATTGTTTAAGTGAAAAGGGCGAAATATTCAAAATTTGATTGAATTATTTAAACCCTCAAAAATATTAATTAAAATTTCATGGTAACATAATGGAACATACAAGCCATATATTATGGTACCAAATATTTATCTCATAATTATTTAATTTAAATGCATAGGATCCAAATAGAATTTAATGTAGTAATTTCGTATTGCAAACTATGTTAGTCAGAATGTTATTAACTCTGGTCAGCCGTCCCTAACCAAATCCTATTGAATTATTAAATAAATAAATATTATCTTTAAAAATCATTTAAATGTAGCCATAGTTCATGAAGCTTGTAGTAATCTTTCCACTAACTCTCGTTTATTATCGATAAGTGTAAACGAACGTAATTTGCGTAACTTACCAAATCGTACCAGATCATTAGATGGAATAATGTTGTGTCTATGAAATATTATTTACAATTTTCACAATTTCCTGTTCCACATATAATGTTTCATGCGGAGTCGTGGTTCTATAAATATGATTTTGTTAGATAAATATTTATGCTGACAAGCAAGCGTGATGTTTGATCACAACTATAGTACGATTTCATTTTTTCGGCACGCACACAGAACCCGACGCACATAAAAATGAATTCTGCATATACAATTCAAAATAAATTGAAACCCGTTGCATATAATTCGAGCATACAGTATTCAGAAATAGCTTTTATGACAAAATTGGCTACGTATGCACGTAAAATGATTTTTTTCTGATTTTATCTAAGATGGAAATGCTTTTTCTGATCTTGGTTTCAATTTTGATGACCATAACACGTATGTTTCTCAATTGACTATAGCCGGCGTCAAGTTCTCAGTAATGTTATGATTATAGTCTCTTTCATTGCTTTATTTATGAACGAATTCTGCAATTGTTGCCATTCTTATTCATGTGTATGCTTTCCGTCGCTTAAACTATAGCTTTAGAACGAAAGTTCTTACATATAAGGATAAACTATTTATTCGAAACAGAAAATAGAGGAAGTGCTCTAAAATTCAGTGGAGGTAAAAGTTGTTCTTATCGTATGTATGTATTTTTTTTAAATTAGCAAAAGTTTGTTTGAACATGTTCCCATTATTGCTTTTAGTCAGCACTTTACTATAGACCTCGTTGCTTTTAAAGAGTCAAAAGTAAGTTTTCAGGTTCGATTTCTTTCAGTAATAACTGTTATTTGTATACAGATAGATCCTTTTGTTTTTTGTTTTGCTGTAAGTTGAACTTTAGTATTTAATTACCAGCAATTAGTTTTTGCATAGATAATTTAACTTAGTCATAACGGTGATATGTTTTCGAAATTATGCGTTGTTACATGTATTTCATGTTTTTTTCGGGTGAAGATTTAACATAATAAAAAATATAGCTTAACTAAGACAGAATACGAAAGTGAAAGAAAAAGGAAAATTCAATACAAGAAGAAAAAAAGATTCTACAAAGATTTCTTGTTAACTTTGTTTAAATTATGTTTTGTTACATATTATTATATTATATTCATAAGCTTTGTTTAAATGGTTGTGCTGCGTTACAGATTATTGTTACTGACGACGATAAAAGTCATTATGAACCATTTTACTGTTTATAGCTATTGTTTTTAAACTTATATTTATTCTTGTCACAACCGTCCTGGGGTTGTGCACACCTTATTTTGTGTGATATGATGAACTAACCAATCGTATTTAAGTACAGTATTTCAGTATTTCCATGTAGACAAATGTCCAATTTACCATTACTTTACCTTTCTCCCAGCTTACTGGTAAATTAAAAAAAATATTGCTGATCAAAAAATAGTGGCACAACCGTACCCAGTATCCGCTACTTTATTTTGTATTGATATTTCTTAGTTTGACTAATGTAGTAGCTACTTCATTAGTCAATCTAATACAAATAGAGCCATGTTTATATTTATAGACTTAGTATTCTCAAAATTATGACCAAATTACATTCCCATTATTCTCAATATCAAAAACTTAATCATTTTTAATTGTATTGCACATATTATTGTCAATTTATCCGATAAAATATTAACCTTAATGACATTACGGATTAGTGCAATGTATTATATGCGAAGCATAATCAGTCAAACATGTTACAGAGATTAGTTAATTCGATAAATTATTCTGTCATGCAGTGTTTGCCAAAACAATCTCTAATAATGTGCAGAAATAAATCACTAACATGTTAATGAACAATGCAATGTGTCTGGCTTCGATCACGTGTTGAGTCTTCAAGTCGAAACTGTAGCATTTCTTTGCAAAGAATTTGCGAGCTGAACCAAATAGTCTTATTAGAATCACACACGTTGTGCATTATTTTTTATTGAAATATTATATTTATTTCTAAAATAGTAGTAACAAAATAAATGTTTGAAGGACGCAAATAAAATTATAATTTATAAAAAAATCACTGATTGCTAAATAAGTTAATTGCGAAACATAAAATGAATTATGGGTTTTTTATGACTTGTAATTTTCTATTTTAGTTTTTCCAAAGTTTTTGTACTTGAAAAAAATTTTGTAGACTGTTATTGAAAGTCAACAAATCAACGAAAAAGTTGTTCATATCATTATGAAACTATTTTTAGATTGAAGTATGTAAAGAATTAATTTTATATTAAAAATTATGCTGTGTGTATACTACGATAGTAAGAATTCATAAATTATAAATGAAACGTGTAAACTTGTAATTAATCATTTAAAGCTTTAATTAGTCATTTAAAGCTTTTTAAATCATTTTTAATACTGATATATTACCAAATTATTTTTAAAGGAATTATTATTGATATTATTAAATACACTTTTTAACTACTGTTCATTGTATTAAGTATTTATTTTATATATATTTGGTATCGTTGACAAGGATATAAAAATTTAGTTTAGTAAATTAAAAGAACATGCCTATATAGTAAAAATAAAAAACAGCAATATTGGAGCTTTCTAGAAAATTTCTTTTAAGTACTTAATTATTCAAATAGTCGAAATAAGACTTTTAAATATATTTGGTATCGTGACAAGGATATAAAAATTTAGTTTAGTAAATTAAAAGAACTTGCCTATATAGAAAAATAGAAAACAACAACATTGGAGCTTTCTAGAAAATTCCTTTTAAGTACTTAATTATTCAAATAGTCGAAATAAGAAGAAATAAATAGTCAACTATACATTATGTATGTTTCGACCCTGTGTTTTTCATAAAAACAAGAAAAATAATCAGGAAAAAGCATAACACACCATTTTTAAAAATATTGCTTCATAGAAACAAACCATGAAAAATTAATGAAATAATAAACTAGTGGCTTGTTATGTTCACATATCTCAACATCGAAACTAACTACTTTAATATATATGTATATTAAAGTAGTTACTGGTTATTTGGCAGTGTTGTATTTTTTATGTAACATCAGTGTCTTTATGCTCATATAAAGTAGTAACGAATTTGCATTACTGCAATATATGTACATCTGCTATTATACTATCGATTACAAATTACACTTTTGATGTGCAAGCTAATTAATTGTGACGTTGCATTTTGACACCAATGTCCAGAAAATTCCGTGCGTGGAGAGAAGCGCCGACTGGGAATAGAATTTTGATGGCATCGGCCTAGATAGATCATCAACTTCAATAATAAAACGTATTTCCGCATACGAAAGAGATTTGTTTTTACAACAATTATATATTTATATATATATATATATATATATATATATATATATATACATCATTGTATCGTATGACAAAACTTTTATAAAAAAATGAATGTCCAGTATTCGATCCCGCACCCTTTTCATGACGATTGCAAACCACCGCAGGACTTAGTGAATTCTAAGAAATAGAAAATTGATAGTTTTGACTCTATATTTAAAAACAGTGAATAAATGTGACACTTATCTCGGACACTAACACATCATTCTCAGCTTCAGTAGCTGATATTCATCTACATTTTCCAACATCATATGTCGAGAGGCGATGTTACCTTTGGCAAGACGTATATATTACACTATATACTTTTACGGTAGGATAAAGTTGCTCAAGTTGTGCCCCCAAAGGAAATAATGCTATAATATTAAAAGAAATTTTTTGGCGTTTATTCTATATTTGTAGTTGTCTTTTAATTAACAATCACTGAAATTTTAATTTCGTACATTAAAATCGTTTTTTTAACGTTTTTCAGAAATGTGCTTTCGGTACTATTACGTATTCGGTCTGTTTTCTATAGGCGTTAGTTTCTAAGTCGAACATAATTATTAAAATAATTTTGTAATTTATATATAATTTTATTTTATAATAAAACTAATTTAAAAATATTAAAAAATATTGATTTCAAAAAGTTTTTCAGTACAAATGTTTATTGTACGCGGAATACCAAAGTTTTGGGTTGCACTTAAAAGCTCATAATTTTCTGACGACATTGATTTTACCATTATTTAATATATTTTTTCGTGATAGTTACGATCAATACGTTTAACTTAATAATCCTCTTTGAAAAGTTGTTACTTTAATACTTAAACAATTAAATTTTACAGATTTGTCATGATGATTTTTAAGTAATTCGAGGTTGCTGATTCCGAAAATTAACAGAACTTTGCTAACAGCTTTAGTTCTTGAGATATATCAATGCACTAGTTTTAAATCGCAATGAAAAATAACACATATTTTATTTTATGCTTTCAAAGGACGTGGACATGGTCTCATTGATTTCGCCGTAAGTTCTAACATTTATCAGCCAGCACGTGGATATTCCACGTCTTGGAGGATTTTCTCGCCTGATTTTCTGGTTTTCTTCTCATTAATATTCATAGAATTCACGAACCGTGGATTTTTGTCAGTTCCTTAATTTCAAGATCATCGAATAGTTTTAACTCTTCCTGTCTTCTCTTTTATTATTGGTCTCTCAATGTCTTACATGGGAGGCCGAAGATTTTGATGCTCTAGGTTGATCATAATTAACTATGGATAGGGGTCATGTAGCTGAACGTAAGTAGACCCCAAGACCATTGATGTCATAGTGTATAATTTGCTTCTATCCCTTGAATTTATTCTATTGATGTTTACCACACAGAACAAACAGTCGTCGTGGTGATTGTGAGGTTTTCTCTAAATTAAGCCGGTATTAAAATTATAGCTTTTTTTGACATTAAAGTAAGCACACTACGCAATTTTGGCACATAATATGATGAACCCATGTTTTATCTTGATTGCGCAATTCAAGGTTTTCGGTATTATTCAAAAACATAATCACCACAGATGTATCTAAATCTATCTGAATTATGCACACAACATCTTAAAGTCGGAGTCATACCAAAAATAGCAGATAAAACTCTTGGTTATTTGTTAAGTCGAGATAATCATAGCCGAAATGACTAAAAACTCAAAAACAGCAGCTGTTATGCAAAAACGAAAGGCATTAAAATTCTGTTGCGAGTGTATTGTTTTGTTTTTAACATAATATGAGTTGTTGTGATATCTTTATTTCATTAACTGTTTATTGTTATATAAAATCTTTTTTTTTCGTGTCCAGATATCTTGTTCGTTTATCGGATGGCAGCGAAGCATGGGTGCCCTCGAACATTCTTGAGAAAACAGATAAGACAACTGATAAACATGAGAAAAGTTCGAGCGCGAAAGGACAACATGAAGCGGCGGCCAGAAGAGAGTAAGTTTTTTAATGACATATTATTTTCAAAAGATGAATTCATAAGGGGCGGAGCACACACATCCAATATAATTCTTAGCAATTATTCTCTGAAAACCAAACTACAATAACACGTATAAAACAAAACAACTAATTATGTTCAGTAAAATTCCCAGATAATTCATCTTTGTAAAAATGGTTTTCTGTTATTATTTATCAAAGATTTGCTTCCTTTTGTGTCATAGGCGTCGTAAACAGGAACGGCCAAGGGGCAAAAGGATCCATCATTTTATTTTTTATTTTGAAAAGTTTGCAGAGAATAATAGCTACACTATTTAATCAACTTAAAAATTATAATCTAAAGATGTATTGTTAAAGAATAACCTTTACTAATGTCATAAATCTTGTTTTGGTAGGTATTTCTGTTTCATTCATCATAATCATAATGCTTGTTTCTTGAATACAACTTTTGTTTGAAACATTTATTTCATGGACATATTTTTTACAAAGATGACACTCCTTATAACTTTCCGTCCTTATATATATACGTTTGTGTGTATATTCATATATATTGTACTATACACATTGTTAAAAAAAATACTGTATTGATAGCGAAATATATTTTACCTTATTTATTTATATAACTACTATTGTCTTTCAGTATATTTCATACAATAAGTAATTAATGAAAGAGCAATTCTAATTTTTCTATTATTGTGGGCATCATGCTAGCAAATTAATTTCACAAACTAGATAATTGATCTTGACTATTTAATTATATTTTGTTCTATCAATCTTAGAATTGAGTCTGTGATAATTCAGTAACACCAGAGCGTTGTTGCAATTAATTGCTGCTGACTAATAATGTTAATTTTGTAATTCAAGATGCCTTTACTATGTATATCACCTGCACATTTATGAAACACGTTATTAAGCACAAAGTTAAAAGTTGGCTACATATACTGTGCACTTTTGGCACAATTCTGTATAGTATTGAACTTTTAGACATTCTAGGAAATCAAATACGTCAACAGAGGTTGGAAAACTCAGTTAAAATATTAGATTAATTTGGTTATACCTATGCATATTTTTTAATTTTACCTACAATATTCCTTATTGCTATATTATTTACGAATCAAAAAAGTGCTCATGTTTAAAACAATTATAATTAAAAGTTATTTGCATTAAATGCAAACAGCGGTACTTTTTCGTTATAGTTTTATGGCCAAAATGTTTGAACCAAAGTTTTTACAGTATCATTCTTAATTTTGTTTGTTTCACAGAAATTATAGCAATAGAATTTTCATGATATAAATAATGTAAAACAAACTTAAATGTTTCTTCAAACAAACGATTATCAAAATCTTTTTTTTTTTTTAATGATAAATCAATTTTGGTATACACCTATAGTTTTTTTTCAGAATTTTTCATAGCGCAGATAAGAACCTCTAATATGCAGATTAGAGTACATATTGAATCCACATTGAATCTTTGAGAATGCATCGAATTTTTTAACCATTAATAACAAATCTCTAATATATAATATATCAATAAAATGATATATAATAATGATATGTAATAAATTAATTGTAATATTGTAAGAAAGAAATTTATTCAATTTTAATTTAATTTAATTTTTACAAAATATTTACATGTAGTAAATTATGCATTAATTTCTATATTAATCCATGCAAACATTTTTGATCTGCATCGTTCAGATTATACTATATATTTATTGCATTTTATATAGTTTAATATTTGTTATTTATATATTTGATGTGGTAAATGGAAAATAAATGTAAATTCAAAACCGATATTTGAAAATTGCAGTACTCACTTGTTAGTATTCTAATAGCATGGAGCGTATATTCGTAAATTATATATATTTAAATTTTTAGTGGTTATAAAATACTGTATAATTTTATTGCTTACGATTTTTTGTGAACTTTGATAAGTCATCACAGATAATTTTTTGAAAAGAATTCAAATAATATTTTTTCCACATATACATATAATCATAATAGACTGAGAGCCAGTGAACCTTTTGAATAACGGTGTTCCTGTAAGGCTAAAAATTTTTGTACAGGTGATTCTTAACGTGCTAAGTACGGAAACGACGGTCTGGCAGGTTTTAGCCCTGCACATCATGGTCGTCCAGGCGTTTGAAAGTGTAAAAAACACCCGAAAATTAAACTTGTTCCTGTAAGGTTCAAATTTTTATACGATGTAATTTACTCATTGAGAAGTTCGAAAATCAATCTGCCAGACCATTTCGACCTGCACAAGTACAGACGAGCCGGAAAGTGTGCAAAAAATGCCCCAAAATAAACTTTGTCCTGTAAAGCTGAAATTTACATATGTGTTTATCTAAGCAATTCTAAAAAGGTCTGTGCAATTGCCAGACCATTCTGGCTAGCATAAGCCCTTGCCAGACGAGGGCAAAAATGCTATGGCGGGAGGCGAGTAATAGGCGTTGCGTGAAAACTTGTAGCATATATTCAAACTATATTATGAGAAATTACAAATTATGGTCAAAATAAATTTAATTAGTCACAATAAAATATATATATTATCATGAATTAATCATCATTATCAGATATATCGCTAATTAAAACTTCATCGTCATAAGATTCGGCATTGCTAACTTATCGTCTATAAAAAAAAACAAATTTAAATATATTAATAATATAATAAATATAAAATATTACAAATTTAAAAATTTTAACATTACCGCCTATGTGTTGATCAGCTCTGTTTGCATCCTCCTCAGCAATACGAGAAGGATGTTGTGATATTATTTCAAAATTTGAAGAAGGAACGGTATCTCCCACAAACTAATTGAAATCAAATATTTTTTCAATCAATATCCAGCCAGTATTTTGAGGTTTAAGAATTGCTGGTACTTTTAAATGACTATTTGAAAACTATATCTACTCGTGCAGCATGTGCTGCCGTTAAAATAGACATTATGTTTTCGAAATATTACTGAATGTTTTTGGTATATTTTTCATTGAATGCAGTAAATACAGTCCATCGAAAACAACAGCATCATACCAAATTGTTTCGTTATCAGTTATATTTGCTTATAAGACTTCAATCATTGCAATAAAAAATAAATTAATTTATGAGTGATTAAAAGTATTACGAGTGGATTTATTACACATAATTGAAAACGAGCGAACACGTTAACTCGGAGTATTTTCTAAAAGCAAATTTTCACAAATCAATAATTTTTATAATTGAACCAGTATTCGTAGGACTTTAATGGTTCAGTATGTTCGTTAAGACCATGTACTCTATCGTTATACCAAGTAAATCGTCTAATTTTATTTTTAACAAATGTGAAAATAACTACTCATTTTTTCAATCTTTGATGAATTTTTAAAATTAAACTACTTGTCGTAATTCGGTAATATTTTACTAAGTTCTATAAGACCATGATATATATATCCCCAAAAAAAGTTCCATAAAAATCGGCTTAAATTTTGTTTTTAACAGTTAATTACAAGAAAACGGCTCGGTAGATTTTCACCTAAAACTAATCAATATCATTCCCAACTAATATCTTTCGAACAGTTTTTGATTTATTTAAATCGATTCGGTAGTATGAGCCTAAATGTGGATGAAAAGTTTAACACATTTTTCCAAATTACAAAGAAACGGCAGATCGAAGCACAAAACTGACAAACGATAGTTATCATCGAGGTACATCAAATGGCTTTTGAAATTTTGAAATCGGTTCCAGCGTTTTTGAGCAAACGTCGATAAAAGGTCTAATTATGACAAATGCCAAAAAAGCGATATTAATTTTTGCAAATTTTGATGAATTTTTAAATCGGTCCAGTCGTTTTTTAGGAAACGTCGATTTACTTACGGAAAAAAATCTGTTCAGACATACATACTTTTTCCAAATTTGGTCTCATTCGATTCAGAATGGCTCGAAACGTCGAGAAAACATAAAATTAACGAATGGGATTTTTTGATGAAAGCAAACTTCTTCGGCAAGCTAACAATTGTAATGAGATATGATAAGGTTTTTTGAAGATCAATATTATATTGGATTTATCGCGCTAACAGTCGACCAGTCAAATCACGTTGGACACGAATTTCGCGAATTTTATTATTAGCTTTAATAGGTTTCTTCTTTTTTTCTGAAAAAGAAATTCATAATTTTTACCTGTGAAATTTTTTCTTCAAATCTCTTACCCTCCGTTGAACATTCAGAAATAAATGTTTCTTTCCAACTTTCACCTATTTTCAGAAAATTCAATTGATACTCAATAGAAGCCTGAATTGAAGTATTAATTAGCGATATATCTGATAATGATGATTAATTCATGATAATATATATATTTTATTGTGACTAATTAAATTTATTTTGATCATAATTTGTAATTTCTCATAATATAGTTTGAATATATGCTACAAGTTTTCACGCAACGCCTATTACTCGCCTCCCGCCATAGCATTTTTGCCCTCGTCTGGCAAGGGCTTATGCTAGCCAGAATGGTCTGGCAATTGCACAGACCTTTTTAGAATTGCTTAGATAAACACATATGTAAATTTCAGCTTTACAGGACAAAGTTTATTTTGGGGCATTTTTTGCACACTTTCCGGCTCGTCTGGCAGGTACTTGTGCAGGTCGAAATGGTCTGGCAGATTGATTTTCGAACTTTTCAATGAGTAAATTACATCGTATAAAAATTTGAACCTTACAGGAACAAGCTTAATTTTCGGGTGTTTTTTACACTTTCAAACGCCTGGACGACCATAATGTGCAGGGCTAAAACCTGCCAGACCGTCGTTTCCGTACTTAGCACGTTAAGAATCACCTGTACAAAAATTTTTAGCCTTACAGGAACACCGTTATTCAAAAGGTTCACTGGCTCTTGGTCTATAAGGATGGAACTCTTGATTTGGTATATTTTATGAAAAAAATAATCCTTGAGAATCTAGAAAATTAAACCTTGTGGAAACAAAATTTTTGGTGCGAGTTACAGAGCTATATAAATTAGACTTGCACCGAATATTCGGTTACTATTCGGTATTCGGCATATTTGGCACCTTTTTTAATATTCGGCCAAATACCAAATAGTAAATTACTATTTAGTAAATTTTTCTATCACATATTTATACTATTCGGCCGAATACCGAATATTTGAATATTCGGTTTTCAGCCGAATAGTATAAATGGCGCCAAATATTCCAAATAACAAAGAGTAACCGAATAGTGGTTGCAAGCCTCGGCATACAACTTGAATATACACATAGCGAGTTATAATATAACAACTAATAATAGTAATTACATGAATACAAACGAGTTGCGGCGCCAAAAGCCTGCCGAATAGTTGCCGAATATTCGATATTCGGTCTCTGGAACATGCCGAATATTCGGTATTCGGCATTTTGACGATTATACTATTCGTTGCAAGCCTAATATAAATATTTATTTCGTAGTTATACAACAAAAATGCACTAAATTCATCTATTATTCGATCTATTCTCACTTCTTGTGATTGCATGTTAATGTATTTTTATGATAAATACTATTGACCTACTTATGAATATATTTTAGAGCAACGAGATGATTTAGAATTATTTCTAATTTTACAGAGCAGTTGTCAAAGAACTGATAGAAACAGAAGAAGAGTTCTGCCGAGACCTGGACTACGTGGTTACGAGATACGCCAGGCCGAAACCAGGAAAAGTGCCTAGGCTTGTTCGCGATAATTTAGATGTGATATTTTCTAATATTGCCGAGATTGCAGAATTCCACAAAACGTAATAATAATTTTTCATACAATATTGTAATCATGATCCAGAATGTTTTATATTTAAGGAGTTAAATATTTAGCAATATAATGATTATAATAACCAACAAAATAATTGAAACTTAAATGATTGCGTGTTGCATTTTGGAGCTGTTATATTTCTAGTTTTGAGTTTTCAGCGTCGGTTTGAATTTTTACTTATTATATGAATAAATATTGAGATTATATAGGCAGAGGCGGCCGAAAGCTCTGTGAAAAAATTTATAAGAATACTATTAGTGGTGCATGGCATCGTTGCTTAAGGCAAATTGCTGAAACTTTCCGTATTCTGTACCGTAATTTTGAGAGCTTTAAATTATTTTGAAAATTTGAAAAGAAAAAAAAATGTTTGAGAATTTTGAAATAATAAAAACTAATAATATCGAAGCGCGTAGCGCCGCGTCGAATTTTTTAACTTCCCGTAGTAATCCCGTAGTAATAAATAGTAATCGTAAAGAAATTGAAAATGAAAATTTTTATATATGTTTATATTTCAGAGGTTTTTGAACAAGAATTGAACCTTAGAACAAATGGATGTATGTGTGTGTGTGCGAATACAAATTTTCGTCGACGATTTCGCAAACACGGATCAACCGATTAGAATAATTCAAAAAACATTCGATTTCTACTGATAAGGAGAAGTGCTTATTAGTTTTTGTCAAAGGCAGGTTAGTCGTTTTGGAGATACGGGACAAAGAGTGCCAAAAATGGTATTTTTGTTTTTGAGATAACAGAGCGTCCGGTTTAAATAATTCAAAAAACATTATACTTGTATTGATGAAATAAACAACAGGTGAAATTTTTGTGATGGCAGGTCCAGCATCTCTGGAGATCTAATGAAAAAAGTAAAAATAATGCCATTTGGCAGTCAAAAATGATTCTTAGGCATATTTTCATCGTATTATCAGATATTTTATAAAGATTATAATAATGAGTACAAATTTTTATGTACATTTATATTGGTTACTACCAATGTTTACACGTTAGACGACTACGCGACGTTTACGCGCTTTGATATTTCGAGCCGAAATCAGCTATCCAGCGCGATTTGTTAACACTAGAAAGGCGTACGATTTGACTATACCTACATAGCCTGAAAGCAGTCAAAATGACTGCGGCATGAAAAAAATAAATAATGCGTTTAGAAATTTGTTTAAAATTAATTTTTAATATTGCATGTATTATTTACATTTATACAAGTTATCTATAAGTGCTAACAATAAAAAATAGTTTATCTAAAAAAAGTTAATAATTTCAATCAAAATATAAAAAAAAAATTTTTCAAAGAAGTCAATTATTTTCAAAAATTTCAATATTGCTCAAAAATCCAATTTTTTCAAAGTTTTGCAAAGCTTTTTTAATAATTTACGGTACGGAAAGTTTCAGCAATTTGCTTTAAGGCACGATGCCATGCACCACTAGTTTTTAATCAATTTGCTTTACTATTTATTGATTCTTATGTGAAGATGAGACAAGGATCCCTGCGCGTTTGGCTGGCACTGCATATACATACAATTTCTCATAGTTGTTTTGTCAAAAGTTGAGTTTATATTAGTTGAAGGAGATAAGGATATGTAAAGCCGCTTTCAAAAGTGTAATTCATTTCTATCTTATTACCATTTTTTCTTTTCCTCCTTAGAGTTTTGTTGGAAGGTGTGAAATATTACGCGTCCGAGCCACGATTATTGGGAAAAACTTTCCTGCGTTTGGAACGCGACTTCGATCGGCATGCACAGTACTGTCTGGCGGAAACTGGAGCTCAAAGATTTCTAGCAGAAAACGATGAAGCCAAGGATTATTTTGAGGTTTGCTATTATATATATATATATATATATATATATATATATATATTTCCATACCATAAATTATAGTCCATATTGTTTATTGCATATGTTTAATAACATATTAAAAATTTGCTGAACTCACCACTAACATCGACGATTACACAGGTCCACAAAATGAATAGGTTGTCTGAATTGAGTATGCGACATAAGTTTTCCAATGCAAAATATGATTATGCTCCCTGGGTAATCTCCGAACATATTTGCACATATTAGAAAATATATATACAAAAAAAAATCAATAAAGATTATAAAAGCATTGCAGAAAGCCGTTACTCAGGTCATCAGGACAAAAATGATAAGATTACAATTATTATGCAGAAGAATAACTAGATCGAAAATTTTATTTGTTATTTTTTATTTTTCTCCGTGTTTTGCAGTTGACCCCCAATTCTGACTTTACATTGGAAGACATATGTCGATATGTCGCACACTCAATCATACATTATTTTTTATTTTGTGGACCTGTGTTATTAATGATAGTTTTGAACTCAACATGCAATTTTTAATGCATTGTTTTTAAATGCATTAGTAATTAGAAACATAAATTTTAAAATTTACATGAAAACGGTGGTCGTCAGAATTTACTTGCACCCAATTAGGAATAATATTTATATGATGATGAATAATGGGCAGTAAGATTATATTATTGGATTTTACATCAGTAGACGCCCAAAAAAATATAACAACTATTCGTCAAGAGCGACTAAAAATTCCTTCTTCATCTCCTACGCCAAGAGAGTTGCATCTACTAGGCGAGTTTGTGCTTAAAGAAGCACATACAAATATATTATTAGAATAAATTTTTAGAAGATTTCTATTTTTTACGAGAGAATACTACTACTATTTGTTGTTCAAATTTTGCATTTGTTTAAAATGTAAAATGCATCTGAATTTTATTATTTTATTTTTTATTAAATCAGTTTTAATTATCTAATGCGGTAATACGTTTCTTTTTAATTCCCTGGTTCAACCCCTGAGAGGTTTTTCAAAATTTAACCCTTATTTTAGGGTCAATGCACGGGCCATCGGAATTCATTTTAGAGGTATGATTTCTTCAGCAAAAGTATCTTATTTTGATCCCTGGAATCCAAAAATCATATGTGCCTAAGTGACTCGCCCTAATATATATATATATATATATATATATATATATATATATATATAAATATATATTCCTCGTTCACCATGGTATCGGTTGTGTATTTGGTTGTATTAACCCGAAGAGTTAGATCAGATCATTTATTATCCATTAACTCTTTTTTTGGTATAGTGCACATTAGTGTTATTGATACTAGGTGAGGTAAGTACTGTCCTTAACACTTTTCGATCAAATAAAATTTGGCGATGGGCATCGTAGTACTTATTTTCCGTAGATTAGTATGAGTATATTACCATTTTACAAACCTGATTAAGGGACCGATTCTGACGCATAACAGAAAAATGTTATGGCATGGCCATGTTACGCTCCGACTTCCATACGTTATGCTAATGAATCATACTGAATACTGTCAAAATGTCATGTATGTGCTGTGTATTCAGGCGTTTTACACATCAACTGCAACGTCACTCGTATGTTATGGAGCTGTATCAGAAACACACTGTTATCTAACATCGTTTTTTGTCGTTTGTGCGGCTTCTAGGTTATGTTTTCTATCAGGCAACCTGAGAAATTCGCCTGGCTGCACACCAACCGCATGGCTTTTGTCAATTTTAGTATGGAAAGTTCTTCATAACATGTCTTTGTCATAACATTTTTCTGTTATGCAGCAGAATCGGTTTCTAAATGCGGCAACTTCTGATGAAACTTGCCACACTTTAGGGGATTTTATAAAGAAGAGATTCTCGAAGTCACCGATTTAAAGGAAAACTTAATTTATAGTTCAACAAAAAGTCTCAATTCTTGAAAACTTGGGACAAAATTGTTTTGTTTTTTAAACTTACAAAGTTAATTACAATAATAAAAAAATCGTCAAAATTTCACCACAGCTCTATGTTGCGCCTAAAAGCTCATAATTTTCTAACAGCGTGAGTTATTATTTTTATTTAACTTTTAAACAATCCCGTTTGGGCCTGATGTCAAGGTCTGGGACACCCTGTATATATGCGTGTGTGTGAGTTTGAGAAGAGTATATTTTCACCAGTTTGATACATAAGCATTTAGGAACGCATTTAATATCTACTTAGTTAAATTAAGTAAAAAATTTGAAATCGATTAGATCGGAATGATTTCGTCCCTGCTTTACGCCCTCGCTCTTGTTTACCATTACGCAAGGAGTCTCGTCTTATGTGGACCGTTCGACGCGCGAATTTTGCGAATACGCACACAACGAATGTGGCTGATGGCCCACTGCCAGAATAACACGATACTCTTCTAGAAATAGCGTCTCATGCCCTATATATACAGGAGAATTTTAATCCTAAATCTCCATTATACATACAAATTGTATGTATGTATATATATATATATATATATATATATATGTATTTAAGTGTGTGTGTATGTTGAACTATGTTTATTTTTCTTAATTAATTTTTGACTCCCAAATAAACGATAGTTTGGAATGTTCGACAAGTTATTCGACTTTGAAGCAAAAATGCGTTTATTTTTGATGATAGATTTACGATACTTTGTATTACTCTTAATATTTATTTATTCTCATATATCATCAAAAACTAGTTATTTATTTGCTTTTACTGTTTTATGAACTTTAGTAATCAAGATAATTTTTAGTATAAGCGAGGAAATTTCAGCTATTTTGGTATTAACAGCTTAGGATTTAATCTGCCATTTTGATTAATGTTTTAGTCATAACAAGAATATATATATTAGGTTGTCAAATATCTCCCTTCCGCTTTTTTGCTCTTGGTTTATAATACAAAAAGGCGGAAGGGAGATATTTGACAACCTTATATATATATATATATATATATATATATATATATATATTTAATAGTTTATTTATTTAATAAAGCGCGAAAAATATTTTTTTGAGATAAAAATATTTCTTACATGCACTGTCTCCGTTTACTCATTTCATATATTTTTCAAAAAAATTTCACCTTGATTTAAGTTTGTCTCTTATTTATGTATCGATACGCATGCATACTTGAGAAATTAAATAGATAAGCTTTATAGATTTTTTTTTTCAAATTATATAAAAACGTTTAAATTATGTTTAATATTTTTCTTTACATTAGTTTAGGTAATTTGTTTGTTTTGAATTTTAATTATTAGTATTTTCTAAAACCAAATCCGTTTCTGCAAACTATTATGTTCAAATTATTAAACATGCCCATGCCAAAAATTTAGTGTTGTAATACAGAATTCACCATTAAAATGCTTTGTTTTTTTTTTTGTTTCTTAGCATAATGCAACCTATTTTAAATAGCCTACGTTGGAAATACACAAGAATCTTGGCCTAGTTAGTTTATAGTCGTAAATTTAAATATGAATTTTATGATTATATATATATATATATATATATATATATATATATATAAATCTTGGGATGCATAACATGAAATAAAATCGCAGACCATTCGAGTTATTGTCAGAGTCTGTACTGTAGTCAAATGAAACAATTAAGATACCATAAAATCTTTTCTTTTTTATCTTACGTGCTTCCAAAATTTTACAATCCTAAACTTATATACTTGTATTTATACGAATATACTAAAATGTTGAAAATTATTGAAAATAAATTATGTATATTGACTAGCAAATATTTGATCGAATGAGCTGTTTAAGATAAATCTATTTACATGGAATCGGTGATGAATTTATTGTCATGTTTGCTTTAAAATTAATTGTCTTTTAGCAATAAAACTACGCAAGAATATTTTTCACTTGTTTCTAAAAATATAATTACTATTTATATTATCATAGCCTAATTATATTCAATTTAGTAATCTGGACACTAGCTGTATTAAAATAGACTGTTCTAATTGAGTAATAGCACTCAAAGGAAAGTACAGTTCGTTCCAGCATGTAAAAATAATTTCTTCCCAAAAATAATAACATAAACTTATTGATGAATAGATGATTAACTCTAAGGTCACATATGAATGGAACATATCGATATTATTGGATTTGATGAAGATTTAAATGTCACTATAAGATTTAAAAAAATTGATAACGATTCTAAGTTATAATAGTTGTAGGAGTGTGTTCATGTAAAACTTAATTTTATTATTTTTTTATATCTAAACCTAAAATCATAGATGGATGAAACATATCGATATTAATTCATCTATTGACGATTTATATGCGGCTATAAATTAAATACAAGCACTAACAAACAATGATTTTGAACAAGAATTTTTTAGAGAGTGTATATATGTGCAACACTAAGGTTGATAATAATTTCAAACAAAAATAATAAAAAGCATACATAAGTAGGAGAATTATGGTCAAAATTGCATAGGTTTTTTTTATAGGTTTTATACATTTTTATTTATTTAATGATATTTAATAAATAAATATGAGCCAGTCTCAATCGTTTTAGATGATCTTTGGTTAATTGACTACCAGTAATATAATATATATCTTATAATTAAGTAAAAACTTATATTTCGATTTGGAGATTTTTTGATATTATGAAAGCTAAAAACCTTAGAATTATTTTAAAAAAATCATCTCAATATCTATTTTTTGACGAAGTTATAGATATATATATCTCTATATGTATGATTCTCTGAAACCGTTTTTTTCATCTCTCCGCGAGCTGTTGTATGCCAGCTGCTCTCTTTTTTATTATAATATCTCATGCACATGACCTTTTTAATGATCACCATCTTTGAACACCATGGTGTATGTAGTACATTAAATTAAATGGTGTATTTAGTACATTATATTAAAAACTTTAAATACGTTTTTCTCAAAATGACTTTTTTCAATGCGGTGCCACAAATTAAAAAAAAACTACAAGTCGAATCGACTTGCATTTTTTTTAAATTTGTTT